TTAAAGCAACTTCACAAAAAGGCCCTAGAATATACCCCCCATGAAATGCAGCCATTACTAAGCCACTTCGCCATCCAATGAAGTTGGCATTTGAGAGGCTGACTCTATAGCCTGAGGATGCTTTGTGGTCCCTAAAGGTGGACCTGTATGCTGCCCACAGCCCACTACACAACTGCAGGGTCGCCTGCCCCCAAATTGACGAAAACCTTCACTGCTCCTGTGGCTGTGTCTTTACTGTTGGTGTATTTCCTTCTTTAGGGGATTTTTTATTTTCCCTTAACGTATTTAATATCACCCATTGAAAATTATTAATTGACTTGGTCACATCATATATAAACATTAGAAGATACAAACAAATAAAAATCCCTCCAAAATGCACATATGCACATAGACCTGATATTACACTGTGAACATAGGCCTCCTAAAATTAACCTACATTCTTGATGCTGTCGTCAATCCGTATTATAATTAATGAATTCATAAGAGAATCAGATCCTCTCCAATAAAGGCTGATGCTTTCTGGGTTTCCCAGTTAGTGCCCACCTTGGGACTGCAAGTGGTATTTGGTTAGAGTGACCAGACCATCCCTGGGCTTGCCCAGGAGTTTCCATGATTTTAGCACTAAAGTTCCAGTGTCCTGGGAAACTCCTCAGTGCTGGACAGACCAGGATGGTCGATCACGGTTCATGTGGCTCCGGTTGGCTCAGCCACCTCTCTACCAAACTTCTTCTGGAGGCCTTATTTTTGTCCTGGATTCCATAACCCATTGACTGCAGGTGAATTTCCTCAGAAGAAACTCCATGGAATTTATTAGTGATTAATATTGACAACAAATAATAAAAACATATAGAACAAATTTTAGAGAATGGTACAACTCTTTGGGGTTCTGGCATTAACTACCACACCCTCAGTGACTGATGTAGCCCTTAACCAGGAATGACTGGGGGAATATCCCTCCTCTCAGTCCAATCTAGGCCCTGTCCTTACATCACACAGGGTTAATGTTCTATCTGATCCCTCTTCATCCATCCATCAATATGCCCACTAAGTCCATGGCAATGTGCTGGACACTAGGAATACAACAGAAAACAATAGATGCATCCTGCCCTGCCTGGATTTACACAATGGTGGAGGACACTGAGAGTAATCAAATAATGTCACGAATATGTAACTGTTTAATAGCGATGAGTGCAATGACAGGGGAGAGCAGGAGAAGCAGATTACTCAGAGATAAATTCTCCAAGGAAGAAAATGTAAGCTAGCCATGAAGGGTAAATGAAAATGCAAATTAAAACTCCCGCCAGATTACATAATTTACAAGTCAGACTATACCAAGTGGTAGCGAAGACAGACGTGGTGCAGAAGGAACGCTTGTTTACCTCTGCTGGAAGCGTGTATCTGGGCTACCTAACGCCCCTGAAAGCGTCATCCTCTTTCAATGCTCTGCTCCATTCGACTGGGGTTTGGAGTCTGCAAAACGCCTTTCCCAGGCTGCCTTGCCTGCTGGCCTCCAGGAGGCTTTGCCAGTACAAGGCCCCGGTGGACATTAGAAGGCCGGGAGAGGGCGGAGGCTTTCGGCTTCTGGCCCTGACCCTTGGTGGCAGGTATCGATGAAACTATGGTGGCAATAGAGGGGAGGTGATCGGGATGCCAGCAGCCGGGGAACAGCCAGCACCTCTTTCAGCAAGTCCCACCCTGCTGGAGGCAGTGCCTCTTCGGAGACCCAGAGCCAGCGACCACAGCACGGCTGGCGGGCCGAACTCCGGGGCAGCGGCACCTTCGGGTCTCTGCCCGTCACCGTCACTCCCTTCAGGCCCTCCGGCCCGGCGACTTCCTTCTGCCCTCCACCCCTCGCAGTGCTTTTACACCAGTTCCTTGGATAAAAGTCCCCCTTTTTGAAACCTAGAGTGGTTTCTGTTTTCTTAACTAGACCCTGTTTCTAGCATTTTTTTCTTTCCTTCTCACATGCACCAATATACTGCCACATTTGCTTCCCCCCCCACCCTACCTCCACCCTCCTCTCTCCCCCTTTCCATATATACACTATTTGGCTGAACCATTTGAAAAGGAACCGTAGCTGCTTGGCACTTCACTACTAAATACTCTTCAGAAAGAATAAGGAAATGACATTTTTGTACATAACTCCAATCCCATTCGCATTTTTAAAATTAACAGTGATTCCAGAGTATTCATTCCAATATTCATTCCAATATTCATGCCATATTCAAATTTCCCCAATTGACCAAATACGTCTTTTACATTTTTTTCCCCTAATTCAAGATTCATGCGTTGTGTCTGCTTTTACGTTGGCTCAGTCTCTTTCAAGAGCAGTTTGGCTTTACTTACAGGAATTCTTACACAAATGCACTAGGAAATACGTAAACGTAGTTCTGAAGAGAGAAAACCTGGCAACAATCCATTTAAGGGTTAGAGGAGGAAAAACTGAGGGACCCGGGGATGACTTCGGGCCCGGCTCGCGCAGCTGGGCGGGGAGAGGTGCCGGGCAGCTTGCTGTCCGTTCAGGGCCCTCAATAGCCCATTTGCTTTCTCGTTGCAAAGTGGTCCCAGTCGGTTTCTGCAAATGCCCAAAATTCACTCTACCTGCTTTGTGCCTCAGAAACATTAAGAGCATTTTTATTGCTCTAGTGATTTCTATCCCTGTTTGCCTTTCACAAAACCAAGGAAAGTAGGATAGGCTGCGGAGGTAATTCCCCTCCAACGCCGAAGGACTCTGTTACCAGCCCCTCGCTCTGCCCAGCCTCTGAACATCCTCAGACGGTGTAATGGCCTTTGATTCCAAGTGCAGAAAGACTCCCCCATCACCAGCAGCCATTTTTCCTGCGATTATGGCCTGTCTCCCACCCCAGGCCTGCCTGCTCTCCCTCCCACACCCTCCCTCCACTACAGCTAGAATTAAAAGCAGCCACCTGCTGCCCAACGGTTGGAATTCACATTGTTCGTGCTCTATTTTAAACAGAAATAAGTTTCAGTGTGAAATTAGAAATCGATCTCAAACCTGAGTTAGCAAAACCAAAACAGGGAAAAGCTAACAAAATATTTGTATCCTTAAAACAATAACACAACATGAACCCTGACCTCCAATATGGTAATGCCTTTGGAGGCATCCTTAACAGTTCTCCCGATATCAATGCAAAATGAAAGAAATCACTATCTGAAATAATTGTCATGAAACAGAAATCAAAACTATTGGACAGCACAATTAATGTTTAGTGTGCTTTAAATTTTTCATTGGATAATGGTCACCTTTAAATATTAAGTAGTTGGGGTATTCATAGTTTTTAATTGTTATTTGGCCTCTATTTGGTGCTAAAGGTCCCTATCAAATGTTTATATCAAGTAAATGACATTTTTGCATGTTATTGAAATGTATCAGCTTCTCATAATGTATCAGTTAACATAAACCAGGCATTTATTAAATGGGGGTAGATTTCTCTGTATTGAAAACCTTTACATAACACTATTCACAGAAAAATGATTCCCTATTTATTATTATGGTCACTCATTCCTATTAAACACATAAAGTATTATAAAAATTACAGTATACACTATGACTTTGGCAATTCCTGGGGATTCCCAGAGGTTCCAATTTCTCACTCTTGAATTCTACTATAACATGTGTCATAAATTTGGAAATCCTATTTCTTGCCCATTTTTTAAATAAAAATTGTGCATATTTAGGGTATACAACAGGATGATTTGATACTCACATAGTGAAATGATTATTACAGTCAAGCTAATTTACATGTCCCCTCACAGTTGCCATTTTTTTTGTGCATGATGAGCGCATCTGAAGTCTATTCTGTAGCAAATTTCTAATATTCAATACAGTCATTAACTCTAGTCCCCATGCTGTGCTTTAGATCTCTAGATGTATTCACTCTCCGTAATAGCAGCTTTGTACCCGTTGACTAGCACATCCCCATTTCCTCCACTCTCTGCCCCTGGTAACCACCATTCCACTCTCTGCTTCTATCTATTTGACTTTCTGAGATTCCACACATAAGTGAGATGATGTTGTTTTTTTCTCTCTGTTTCTGGCTTATTTCACTTAGCAAATATCTTCCAGTTCATCCATTTTGTCATGTATGGCAGCATATCCTCTTTTTCAAGACTAAATACTATTGCATTGTATGTACGTACAGCATTTTCTTTATCAATGTATCCATCAGTGTACACTTGGGTTGTTTCCATAACTTGGCTGTTGCAAAATGCTGCAATAAACGTGGGAGCACAGCTATTTCTTCTTCAAGGGACTGGTTTCATTTCCTTTGGGCATATACCCAGAAAAGAGATTGCTGGATTGTATGGTAGTTCTATTTTTAATTTTTTGAGGAACCTCCGTATTGTTTTCCATCATGGCTGTGCTAATGGAATTTACAAGGGTTCTCTTTTCTCCACATCCTCATGTTGATAACAAAATAACACTTGTTATCTCTTGTCTTTCTGATATTAGCCATTCTGACAGGTGTGAGGTGGTATCTCATTGCGGTTTCCATTTACATTTCCCCGACGATTAGTGATATTGAGCATCTTTTCATGTACCTGTTGCTATTTATATGTCTTCCTTGGGAAAATATCTATTCATGTCTTTGACCATTTTTTTAATTGGTTGGTTGTGGGGTTTTTTGTTTTGTTTTATTTTGGGGTTTCTTTTTGCTATTGAGTCGAATGAGTTACTTATATATTTTGTATATTAACCTCTTTTCAGATATATGGCTTTTCCTTTATATTTATTAATGCCATTCAGTGTATCAGAAAGCTTGTACAAAGTCTAATTCATTCAGGTGAGTTCATTTGCATATGGATATAAGCAGATATATGTTAGTCTTACTACATACTGTATATCTGAGGAACTCACTGGAATTGAGAAATTACTTTCTGGGGACTAGAATTTGCAGGAAATTCTTCCAAGTGGTCAAATATCACTGCTCCTTAGTGACCAGGAGTGATTAACCAGACATTATATTTCAACATTTCAGATTCTGAAGAAGGTAAAATTTTCTGATGAGTTTTTTTAATAGCTCGAGAAGTTTTATTCATGGACTTCCTCCATTATGACATGGTCTCATGGATAACTACATGGAAGCTGCTGGAAGGAGAGGCACATTCTTCTTGCAGATGAAAGCATAGTTCAAGAAATAATCTTGTTCAACTTCTAAACACATCTGCTCATAAAAAAAAGTAAAATAAAAAATTATTTAGAAATGCAGTTGAATTCACTTGATGCATCTATGTAAATCTAGGGATGCTACTGAGTCAGTATTTGCTTATGTTCACAGCAATTTGTCATGAATTTATGCTGCACCCCCTTGCTAATAGAAACTAAAGAAAAGTGATATTAATGCTCTATAATAAATATTGAAGAACAATATTTCTCTATGTTCAGATTTATTGCTACCTCTCTTATTAGAGCACAAGTTCTATAATGGGTAAAATATTGTCTTAGCCCAGATTCCCTAAAAAGCAGAGCCTGAGTCAAGGATTGAGTCCTGATGCTTCACTTGGTAGGTGTGGTCCCAGAGCAGTGGATGTGAGAGAAAGGGGAATAACACTTGTTATCTCTTGTCTTTCTGATATTAGCCATTCTGACAGGTGTGAGGTGGTATCTCATTGCGGTTTCCATTTACATTTCCCCGACGATTAGTGATATTGAGCATCTTTTCATGTACCTGTTGCTATTTATATGTCTTCCTTGGGAAAATATCTATTCATGTCTTTGACCATTTTTTTAATTGGTTGGTTGTGGGGTTTTTTGTTTTGTTTTATTTTGGGGTTTCTTTTTGCTATTGAGTCGAATGAGTTACTTATATATTTTGTATATTAACCTCTTTTCAGATATATGGCTTTTCCTTTATATTTATTAATGCCATTCAGTGTATCAGAAAGCTTGTACAAAGTCTAATTCATTCAGGTGAGTTCATTTGCATATGGATATAAGCAGATATATGTTAGTCTTACTACATACTGTATATCTGAGGAACTCACTGGAATTGAGAAATTACTTTCTGGGGACTAGAATTTGCAGGAAATTCTTCCAAGTGGTCAAATATCACTGCTCCTTAGTGACCAGGAGTGATTAACCAGACATTATATTTCAACATTTCAGATTCTGAAGAAGGTAAAATTTTCTGATGAGTTTTTTTAATAGCTCGAGAAGTTTTATTCATGGACTTCCTCCATTATGACATGGTCTCATGGATAACTACATGGAAGCTGCTGGAAGGAGAGGCACATTCTTCTTGCAGATGAAAGCATAGTTCAAGAAATAATCTTGTTCAACTTCTAAACACATCTGCTCATAAAAAAAAGTAAAATAAAAAATTATTTAGAAATGCAGTTGAATTCACTTGATGCATCTATGTAAATCTAGGGATGCTACTGAGTCAGTATTTGCTTATGTTCACAGCAATTTGTCATGAATTTATGCTGCACCCCCTTGCTAATAGAAACTAAAGAAAAGTGATATTAATGCTCTATAATAAATATTGAAGAACAATATTTCTCTATGTTCAGATTTATTGCTACCTCTCTTATTAGAGCACAAGTTCTATAATGGGTAAAATATTGTCTTAGCCCAGATTCCCTAAAAAGCAGAGCCTGAGTCAAGGATTGAGTCCTGATGCTTCACTTGGTAGGTGTGGTCCCAGAGCAGTGGATGTGAGAGAAAGGGGATGTGGGGCTGGGAGGAACTGCTAGCATTGCAAGATCCTGTGTGTTACAGAACTGGCCACCACTTAAAAACAAGCTGTGAAGATACAGAGCTGACTACTCAGTAGCTGTACCTACCAGGCCAGAGCCTCTAGACAATCTATTCAGATAAACTGTGGCTTGGGGGCCAGCGATGGGAAGAAGCAAGGAGTAGGAATTCATCTACCTGACTCCTTCCCATCTCTTAATTCTACTGGTCAAAGTCTGCCCCAGTGTGGACTTAACACCTCTGCCTTTCTGGGTTGCATCAGCTGGGCCCTTCAGCTACTGTTCCAGAAATAAGACCCCATGCTCCAGCACATAGCATCTCAACCAAGACCAGTAGAAAGGAGACAGTCCAGAAACTCAGGGTGGAGACCAGTCAGTCTGTCTGTGCAGCAGGCCCTAGGGACCAGTCACCTTCAGGTGGTGGAGCCATGCAGTCCCAAACAGAGGAAGAAGGCCAGAGTAGCAGCTGAAGCAGAATAAGCAGTGAAGGATGTGGGAGGTGACAGCACTGGGAGAATCTTAGAAGGAGCATAAGATAAACATGATCTAAGTATCTGATGTCAGAGTTTCTAGCATTGTTATTGACAGGGTGCTACAGTCCGGAGGGTCTCCCCAACAACACTCATACATTGAAGCCCTAATCCCCAGTACTCCCCTTAGAATGTGACTGTGTCTGCAAATAGGGTTTTTAAACTGGTAAATGAAGGTTAAATTAGGTCATGAGGGTGGGCCAATAGGAATGGTGTCCTTGTAAGAGGAAATCCAGACACAGGCACACACAGGGAGAAGACCACATGAGGACACAGGGAGAAGGTGGCCCTCTGCCTGCCAAGGGAAGCCTCAGGAGAAGCCACCCCTGCTGACACGTGATCTCCGTCTTCCAGAACAGTGAGTACATTTCTGTTGTTTAAGCCACCCACTCTGTCATGGCAGCCCCAGCAAATACACAGGATGGATCGGAAATCAACCAAACCAAATTCCACACTGACTTCCTGTCACGTCTATCACTTGTTCACATTCCCTTGAGGTCAATTCCTAGAGCAGCCAAATTATTAACTCTCTTAATCTACCAGAACGAATGGGCCATCTTTAAGTTTTTTAATCAAAATGAGAGTCTCCAATAAAGCATTAGATGCTTTTGCTAGTGGAATGCAGCAATATATTCAAATAGGCACTATATGTTTTAATGAATAATTTATATATGGCACTCAGCTCCACAATTACCTTACTCCCTCTTGCTGGGACAGAGCAACAATTATTCATATATTAGCCTACCGATTATTGCAATTGTGGAACAACTTCAATCAAATCAACAAAAGAAATGAAAAACAATAAAAGTTATACTGTGTTCTACAAAAAAAAAACTAGAATTTGTAGAATCCACCATGAAGCCTGACACACAAAACAAACTAGAAAAGCAAAATTGGCTGAAATACCAAACATTTACAAGGCTGTGATGAATGTCTACGTATTGCAATTATTGGTTTATTTAGTTTAGCTGCTACTTTGAGGATTAAAAAAAAAAAATCACGTAGATTGTACAAAATACATTTAAATGATCAAAGACGGGAGACCAAGGGCCTTAAGTGCAGCAAACAAGGAAACAGCAAATTGAAGCACTGTTTTATTTAGACATTTATCAGAGGATTTAGTAGGGCCCTACGAACTCTATTTAATTAGGCCCATTTACATGATAGCAAGATAAATAAGTATTGTTTTATGCTGTTTTATACCTTCTCCCCTTTCTGTATCCTTTGCCTGCCTCTTCTTCTGCACATTCTGTTCTCCTTTTCTAATGTCTCATGTTTTACATCCTCTTAATCGCATTTCGTTGTTTCTCCATGTGGGCAAGCTATTTTGAACCCTGTCAACATTCGTTTGAATGCCTTTGTAGGACGTGTTCTATTAGTGGAGAGGAAGAAGATAAAAAAGTTCAGTCCCTGTCCTCAAGGTATGTACTGTCTAGAAGGAACAGACACTTAGAGGTTAGGACCGAATCTGTTTGGTTTGCTTAAAGTTCCTGCTAATACAACAACTGGTGCAGGACATTAAATGTAAAGATATTCGACCCCTCTTCCCGAGCCTTCTCACCGCCACGCCCACTGGGTAAAGCTGCCCTTCAACAGTGAAATGGATAAATTGTGGCATCATACAATGGAAACTACAAAGCAATGAGAATAAACACCTACAATGACGCTCAACAACACTGACGAATCTCACATGTGTTTGTCAATAAATTTCTCTGTAAGACAGGAAAGATAAGCGAGGAGAACTCCATGGCAAGAGGAAAGTTTGCAGACTGGGAAGGTGCCGCTTTCGGACTAGGAACCAAAAGTATACTCCAAGGACACAGAGAGAGGGGTTTGTTTTTATACTAAAGGTCCAGGTTCCCAGGCTGGCCCATTACATGCACGAGGGACGCAAGCATGCTTGGTCCTAATTGGTTGATAATAGTCACAGCTGATTGGTTGGTTTCCCAGCTGTTGTCCCTTTTGGCAGCAGAGGCAGGACCACATCAGACACTGGCTCTGCCTTGGACCACAGATTTTATTTCATTTTGTGATTCTTCTGAGGACACAGAGTACGTGTGCAGCCTCCTGCCCATACATGGCCACTTGTTTCAGGCTCCAGAGCCCATCGCATTTTCTGCATTGCTGGATTTGAGGGGAAGGCAGAACTCAACTTGATTTTGTCTTATTTTCACATGCTGAACGAAACAAGCCAGCCATTCAAGGGTTCATACTGTATAATTCATGCAGAGAAGGCACAAAAGCAGGCAGAACGGAGCTATGCTGCTGGCAGTCAGGAAAGTGGTTTCTCAGCGGGGGCCTGGGGGGAAGAAGTGACTGGGGAGGAGCATGGGTAGGGCTGTTCTGGCCTGCCGGCAATGTCCTCTTTCTTGGCTGAATACTGATTAAACAGGTGTGCTCAGTTTGTGAAAATTCATTGAGTTGTGTTTATAATATGTACACTTTAGATGTACTACATTTCAACACGAAGTTTTAAAACTATATTATCAGTGTGCCCAGCAATACAAAGGTTTTCTAATGTTGATAATAATTTAGCTTCAAGTGTTCCTGACTTTCATAGAAACAGGTAAGAATAATACTTCATGACAAATCTCAAAGACAGAGGCATTACTATGTTCAGAAATACTTAAAGGAGTCTTCGTAGCAAAGTCGCCTTCACTTGCGGGCTGTAAGAGAAATCCATGCAACACCATTAATCAGAGTTTGTACCCTTTCCCATTCCAACTGATAGGCTAAAAGCCATAGGAAATTAGGCCAAAATAACAAAAACAGTTAAGTCCGTTTTTAAAAGCAGCAAAGGGCATTGCGGCTAACAAGAAACCCAGGTGGGATACTAACTGAATGAAGTGTGTTTTTGAATTATTTGTATTTGATGGTGAAGAAAAATGCTCTTTAAAAAAATGCATCTTCTAAGCAGGCACACATAAAGGCAAGAGAGATCTAAATGGATGAACCATTAAGTGGGAAATGAACAACCTGTGAATACAAAAAGACCACAAAGTACCTTGTTTAACTGCATCTACACAA